AAAAGGAAAAGGAAAAGGAAAAGGAAAAGGAAAAGGAAAAGGAAAAGGAAAAGGAAAAGGAAAAGGAAAAGGAAAAGGAAAAGGAAAAGGAAAAGGAAAAGGAAAAGGAGCAATGGTTAATAGTGCATATCTTCACTATATGGCTCTGAATTGCTATTTCTCCCTGACTTCTAGCTAGACTTAAACAAATTTTAACCATCTTTATGAGACTGTACAAATGCAAAGAGCAAACACAGTGCATTAAAGAAGACACAGCATATTAAAGACAGCTCAATTAAAGTGCAGAATGCTTCTTGTAAGTAAAAGGCTATGTGAATAACCACCCTCAGTATAAATTGCATGATGTTGTACCCAAGTAGTACCCACAATCTTGTGGGACTATTGCAAAACAGGACTTATTTGTGAGGCTTGGTATCGTATATTTTCATGAAAGTCAAAAGAAATTGTAAATCCAAGTTCACAATTTCTTTATTTTCCTGTCTGCCAGACTTTTCTTCTGTACACGTGAATGCGTTACCAAGAAGGGTTGCTGTACACTTCCATTCCAAGATCAGTTTCAGTAATTTAGAACAGATTACCTAACCAGACGAAAAAAACCCATCAACAAAAAACCCAGATGAAGAGAAAACATATTCACAGACAATTTGGAGGAGAAAAAAAAAAAAAGAAGAGGAAAAAATTCACCGATTAATCACTGACTAAAATTTTCAAGCATTAATTGACTAATGTTTATTTTTCTGGGAGGATCACATGATTGTATTTTGCTGGATTGCACTATGACATCCAAATGTTATACAGCTGAGCCTTTACAGTATTTATGATAAGCAAGCAAATACAACCAGGCTAAGACAAGGGAGAAAAATTAAACACCACAGATTTAAATATGTGTGTATATATACATATATAGATAGATAGATAGATAGATAGATAGAATTTTCTGTCTTTCTTTAGTTGTTCCTGCAATAAATACCTTTTTTTTCCCCCCAAAACCAAGACAGATGGCTTAAAATCCAAATGCCTGATTCATTCCTTCCCAGCCAAAATGTCTTTATCAGTGACCAGTAGTCCAATCAGACCCCACTGCCTGTTCAGTAGTGCTCAGCATTGTGCCTGATTTGCAGGCTGATGCCATGCACCAGGTCAGTCCTGCATTACTCTTTCTCCAATGAAAATACACCATTTACAGGGTTCTTAGCTAACATCCTCCTATGAAGTTCTTTACACAAGGCTTTTAGCATGCTTTGATCTACTGGGCATCAGCTTTAAATCTGCAGGAAAAATCTACACCTAAATATAACTTCAAATCCAGAAGATTTGGAAATTATCAAGCTGCTGGGGGATTTAAAATCTTCATGAATTCTTTTTAAAGACAACATTACTTTTTAGCTGGTTTGGCTCCACAAGATTTATCCGTATTTTTGGAAATCGGAGAGGGAGATGTTTAACTTGAATGGCTGGTATGTGAATCAGTTTTCAAGAACACGAGTCAGAATTCGGCGGTGCCAGAAGATTAACTGGAAATGGTAACTGTTAATTTTCACATCTTCTGTGGTTAGAAGGAAGCAGGGCAAAAGCAAAAAAGGTACACATACACCATATAGCACAGAGTGGCTGCTTCAGGGGGTGCCTCACCAAAAGGGCAGAGCTGCAGGTGCTGCGAAGTTCAGCGAGGCTGTTCGCTCTCAGCCAGGGCTGGAACATCAGCGTGCTGCGAGGAAGCACAGCAAGCTGCAGACCACTCTCTGTGGCCAGTGAGGGAACCTGGAGGTTTGAAACCATATTAACAGGGTAATCCGGTACGAGGTTTAGGCAAGAACAAAATATTCCCTGGAATGGGATATGTACAAGGATACACTTATCAAGTATACTAAAATTGTTAGGATTCATATATCTGGCACAGTCTATACTAAGCCCTTTACAGAACAGTGTCAGTTGTAGTTTACTGTTTGCACAATAAATGTTTGCCTCTTGGGATTAAAACATGTAACACGGAGTTAGTAAGAGCTAAGATTGGTTTTGTAACTGCAGATAAGAAAGTTAAACATGTTTTAACTAAAAACAAAAACAACAACAAAAACTACGCATGATTTTTTTTCCCCCTAAAAGAGCTAAAAAAAATGACAGCATGAAATTTAAATTTCAGACAGGACATATTCACTTTCCTAGTTAAATGTGAAAAAGACTCCATAAAAAGCTTGCAGTTACTGTAAGATCTAAGCAAATATTTAACCTCACAGTGCACAGTGACATGATCTGCTGTGACCATGGACTGCTGTAGGGTGACAGTTTGCCTGATGGAGAACAGAAAATCCTTCATGAGTATACAAGAGTCATCCAAGCAAAAAAGGCTCAGCAGCAAGGATCAAAATATCACAGATTAAACAGAAAACAAAAGTGTCAGCTTCTACATGCTGAGAATTGTTCATTAATTTTGTTCCATCCTGCAATATTTTGCAAATTCTAAGCTACGACATTTGGAGTGTTACCAGCTAAAATATGTTGGCTCCTTATGGTGTGTTACAACCAATTTTGCAAACTATCACAGGGCGATGAGAGTTTTCTACACAGCTTCAGAAGTACAGTTTGCAGAGAACATGAATATCTCCTCTCCTCTCTGTACTTAGACTGCAGAGACACCGGATGCACGGAAATCACAGTGTATGACTACAGGATTACGGAGAAAAACCCTGCAGCACTAAGTGTGTGTCTTGGACATGTCTGTCCCTCATGGAAACTCTCATGTTGGAAACTCCCTGCATACAGAAGCAAGTACGCACACAACTGGAGCATAGATGAAGCATATGTAAGTGCTGCTCAAAGTACAAACTCTATGTATGACAGGCACTTGGAAGTTCAGATGCAGCTTCAGTGCTTAAGGGTGCTTGTAGGAAAGATGGTGAGAGACTTTGCACCAAGGCCTGTAGGTAGAGGACAAGGAAAAATGGTTTTAAATTAAAAGAAGGTAGATTTAGGTTAGGCTTTAGGAAGAAATTCTGCACTGTGTGTGGTGAGGCACTGAAACAGGTTGGCCGGGGAAACTGTGGGTACACTCAGGGCCAGGTTGGATGGGGCCCCTGGACAGCCTGATCTAGTGGGTGGCACAGCATTTGCTGGTTGCTTTCTTTTTTTCCTTTTCAGATGTATAATTTTTGCTCATAGCATTGCTACCCAGCCTGTGAATTCAGCATTAGTTTCATCTTACCACAGAGCAGAAGCCTTCATTTTAAACCTCACATCTATCATTTTCAGCCCAGATCCTCATCCTGCTGAGATGGTTTTGAAATGTGATGCTCTATTCCCATGTCTTCTGGCCTCATGTTACCTCTAGAGGCTGTACCAAGAGTTGTTCCTTCCATTGTAGCATTCTGGAAGGTGCTGAGCAGGACTGGCAGCAGGACCAAGTCCAGGAGAACTGTCACTCGCCCACCCAGTCACCTTCCTGTGAGACTTTTCCCTGTCATTTCATCTGACAGAATGGAGAATAAAACAGAATGAAATAGAATGGAATATGTATAATGGTAATATCAAAATATAATATGTACATATGTATATAATGTTAATATGATATATTCTGATAAACTATAATAATACATGTAATATATAAAAGATCCAATTGTATTTTTGGTACATAGTGTATTTGCATACGCATACATTTGATATTATATATAAAACATATATGTTTATACTTCTTTGTATTGTGCATATATATGTACGTATATAAAAATAAATATAAAATAAAGCAGCAGTTGTTGTGGGCCACTAATGAGCCAGCTGTTACATGATTGCCCAAGACAGCCTGTAGGCCTCCCAGCCCTTGACCATGTGGAAATCTCCACCTGCAGAACGTCTAGGTTCGTTAGGAGTGCATTAGAAACTTCGTTATCGGTTGGGTGATAGGGCTGAACGAGCATTTGGCAGCGGCAGTCACAACAACAGATTCCGACAACAGACTGCAGCTTCCTCGTTCACAGACACCTCCACGCTGGGGAAACACTGCTTCAAACGCCACTGCCTCTAACACTGCAGGTGACAGTCACTGAGCAGGGCAAAGAGTGAATTTCAACACAAGCCTCTACATCATCTGTGATTTTTCTTCTCTCTGGCTTTAAGCTGTGGGAGGATTGACACCCCAAACTGAAATTAATATATTCTGTTGCCACTGGCTTTCGCCACATTTTGAATAAACCTGCTACAGAGCACAGCTTTATCATGGATACTTTCCTGCACTCTTCTTTCAGTCATCATTTTTAGCATCATTACGATGCTGCTGTTGATAGGCAGAGGGACAAAATAACAATGCTTTCAAACTACAGCTCAGAAAAAGAAAACTACTCCTCATCCATTCATTTGCCAAAGCTGAGCAATATGCGGGTTTGGATGTCTGCCCACTGATGCTTCTCTTTTTTACTTTTTGCTGGATTGTCCACACTGACCAAAGACACTCACTTTGTAGAGCATCACAGAGAAGAATAGTAGGACAGACCACATGAAAAGGCTGATGAAATAAGCCAAGCTGTACAGAAAAAGGAAGAGGCTCTTCTTCTCCTCCCCATCCCTTATATTTTCCAGTTATATTTGGTATTATTTATAAATTCCATATAGAAAATATTTTGTCTGTCTTTAGAAAATTATGACTTTGAACTCCGGCAGTAGGAATAAAAGCTTGCAGAAGGTCACAGTACCCACTCTCTGAATGCCACAAACCTAATCTTGTGATTCCGTACTCACTGGAAAACTTCCGTTCCTGTAGCTTTTCACAGGACTAAACCCTAGATCCAGCAGGGTTCACGTGATGTTTCTCAGCATCTCACCTGTCAAGTGTCTCACCTGTCAAGTGAACGCATGATGGCAGCCGCTGCCTTTTGCTGGACAATAAATAGGAAAACAGAATAAAGTAACATGAAGGAACTATCCAGCAACAGAACAACTGTGATAAAGACCAGACGTGGGCAACACCTGCAATGGAAGAAGGGAGATGAGGCAGAACAACGGGGCGGCAGTGCTCTCGCTGCTCGCTCTCACTGCGCTCAGGCATCCTCTCCTCCCATCCCCACCTGGACTTCTGCACTGGGCCTGGCGTGTAGTTCATGGCCTGCCATGGCCACAGCATAGCCACGGGCTGAGGTCACGTCAGGGCACACACCGTGCTCGTTGCCCAGGAAACATGCTGTGATTCCTGCCTGGTGAAAGGATTCGCCAGTCCTGCCCGTAAATAAAGTCCATAAATCAGCAGATCAGAGCCAAGGTCAGGGAGCTGAGGAGGAATCAGCCACACTCCACTGGGCTGCCTCATAAACAGCAGCACTGTTGGAATCTTTCAAGTTCCTTTCAGCTACCAGGCAGATTCATCAACAAAACATCTGACCTAAACACTGCTTTTACAGTATTTTTCACAGAGAAGGAACACAAGAAAACGACCAACATAGCTGCCACACCAAGGCACTAAGCTTCCCATCACCTCGTGCTACAGGAAAGGGCACAGCTTTGGAGAGCAGAGCCGTGGGCCCGGCTAGTGTCATCTGCAAACCCATCATCGTCCTGTGAGCAGTTATACTGCACTGCTCAGATGTAGAAAGAGTCCTGCTGCAGTACAGTTATCACCATGGCATGGGTATATTGGCGCCGGCAGAGTTCCTATCTATTCACTACTCATCCAGGTGCACTGCCAGGCTGGTTTGTCAGTTTTTCCTGAATCCATTTTGGACAGCTGACAGACTTCAGCAGAAAGCTGGAGAATGGCCTTTTGCTTCAGGCTTGAGAGGAACAAAGGTGAGTGGGTGTGCAGTGATTAGGCCAACTGCAGCACCATGCAGCTGCAGCCCCATCAGGCTGGGCAGGAGGAACACCTGGTGTTCCTTTAGGGGATGTTTGGTTTGAAGAAGAAAAAAGCTGAAAGATGCCTGATCACTGGCCTGAAAAGTTGCCATCAAGACCGATAGCAGGGATGTAATCAACTGAGTTACTGAAGTTGTGACTGCTGCTAGCAAGCACGTGGAGTCTAGACCCATCTCTCTCTCCCAGAGCCATCGCTGTCCCCAGCAGCTCACAGGTGAGCTGGTGTTAGTGCTGCTGCACTGCTTGCTGAGGCCTCGTTTCTGAGCAGGACAGTGGGGCAATGGCACAATCAGCATGCAGAGGCAAACCTCACAGATCAACAACTCCAGTACTCGAAGTTGGGTGCATATCGGGGGCTGCATCTTTAACCAGTACATTGCTTGGCGTCCCTGTGAGACTGTCCTCATTCACTTGAAGGGAAGCATCCTGGCAGTGTGTTAAGTGCTGCCTGTAGCCTGCTGCTCTCGGGATATTTATAACCATTAATGTCGTGGACGGGAGGTGAGTTTGAACGCACGTGTCACACTTATTCCCTTACAGAGGAGCACCGCTGCCTGACATCTGAACGGAGCTGCCTAAGGCCCGGAAGATGCCCTCCCCCAAGCCTGAGCCAAACCTCACAGCTCCGACCCGCAGCGCTCTGCCCTCGCCGCCTGCTGACAGCCCAACTTCGCGAGGCCCCTCCGAGCGTCCCCCGCTCCCCGCGGGCCGGATCCCCGGGCTGACAAATCTCCGGCTCTGCACCCCCCTTCGCCCCAGGGACGGCTGAGCGCCTTATTTGTTCCGCACGGGGGGGCCACCCTCCTCCCGCAGCCCCGTCCCCCACCCGCGGCGCGGAGCCCTCCCCCGCCCAAGCACAAAGGCCGGGAGGGTGGGCAGCAGCCGGTGGGGAGCCCCGTGCCGCGCACAAAGCTGGGGGGAGGGAGGCAGCCCCCCCCCCGCCAGGGCACACGCACACGGGTGGGTCCCCTACCTGCAGGTGCCTGTCCGCGGGGGAGCGGCGCAGCGCGATGCCGCCCGTATCGCATGGGGGGATCGGTGATGGTGCTGGGAGCGCTCCGGTCCCTCCTCCTCTTCCCTCCTCCTCCTCCACCTCCCGTGCGTGTCTGTGTCCGCGTCCGTGCGCACTGCCCGGCTCGGCGGCACTACCGCCGGAGGAGGCAGGGACAGGCTGCGGCGGCTGTCAGCTACCGGAAACCGGGGCCGGGTCGCACACACCGCAGGAAGTGTGCAATTGCACACCCGCACACGCCGCCGGGCACGGGGCGGGGGTTAGCGCTCGGCACCCGCACCGCGCGGAGCCCGGAGCGAGGCCCATGGAGGGGGAAGAGGAGGAGAAGGAGAAGGGTGGAAGAGGAAGATGAAGATGCGGATGGAGAAGAAAGACGTGGATGGAGGACTAGGAGGAAGACTAGGATGGAGGAGGAGGAGAAAGATGAAGAAGAAAGATGAGGATGGAGGATGAGGATGGAGGAGTAGGAGGAGGGTGGAGGTGCGGGTGCTCAGGAGACAGAGTGAATCGGATGGGTAAGGAGGTGGAAGGCTGCCCACAGGACAGTGAGGTTAAAAGCCGAGGGAGCAAAATGGCCCCTGGGGATGGCGCTGGGCATGCATCCATCTTCATCAAGGATTTACGTGAAGCCAGGACTGTGCCACCAGCACTAACGGCACAAAATAGCTGTACTCGTTATTCTGATGAAGGTGTGTTGACATACACCAGCTGAGTTACTCCAAGGAGCCGTGCCCACATAACTGCTGCTCAGTTTTTTTATGCAGATACAGAGATACTCAACTTACTTCTTGCTTTTTTTTTTTTTTTTCTGACGTGAGATCACAGGTACAACAACACCTGTATGCTAATTTCATGTGGGGCAAATTTGCACATGCATGCATGTATATGCCTCCTACGTCTGTATATAGCATGATAAAAAAGCTGTCACACATGAAAGCAATTTATCTCTCAGGAAAACTGTAACTTTTAATTTCTTCATTTGTCCACAACTAGAAATGTCAACTGCAACATTACTCACATGAGAATATTTTTGCAATTAATCATGAGAGGGCTCAACATGCACTTGCAGTGTTATCTCTTAGTGCTGGTTTCTCCTACAATAAGGCAAGACGTGTGCCAAAGCAAACTCTGTTCCTCTCTTCCACTGGCCTTTATTCCCTTCCTTGTTGCATCACTGTAAAGGAGATGGACCTGGATGCTGCTGGCAGAATACCAGCTGCCTGCTCCATGCTCCAGAGGTTCCTCCTCTCGTATGCCAGCACTGCAAAACTTGAATGGCTAACACATGCTATGATGGCAACAGTGCTTATGCAAGATTATAATGCAGAAAATCTGGAACTATACTAGTGCCAAAAGCAGTGCTGTTTCCAGGTCTGCCTGTAATACAGCAGGGGAATCTGATAGCAGCATAAACCTCATCAGGGGAAGACTGTCAGGCCTTCTCCTCTTGTTATTTTCAGTGAGATGCCATCACATTGCTGCAACACAGCAGGGATCTCAAATACATTGAAATTGAAGGTTATGTGTTAAAATCCTGAAGACTGAGAAGTGAAGTGGAAGAAGTCAATACTAGAAGGATAAGCCTTTACTAGAAGAGACAGCTGTCCCCTATCCAAACACATGACACTCTGCTCTTACATCTTGCTCTCAGTAGAGGGACGTGGATGCAAAGCTCTGGTGACACTGAGGAGGGGACCATCACCCTCCTGGTCTCCACATGCCCTCAGGTTCCTGTCAGGGCTGGGATAGACTGCCATTGAGGAGTGTGCTCCCCTTGGGTCACCAGACACACCCCCATCAGAGGCTACACAGGTCATACAGCTCCAAGGTGGCCTGCCAAATGGTCTTTTCAATATTCAATTCATATATTTCCAAAAGTTAAGTCAATAAGGAGCTCCTGCAGAAGATGCAGAAGACTCAGATGCAGAGTTCTGTTTATAATTTGATGAGCTGACAAATGTTATGTTTGCATCCCAGACTTAACATAACTTAACTGCCTTCTAAGTGAACACTGAAAAGACTTAGCTTCCTAAGACCAGTTGTACTATGAAGTCGAGCAACTAATGGGACTTGCTCTTTGCTGGTGGTCCTCCACCTTTTTGTTCGCTCCCTTTCTGCAGCTGAGGAGCACACTCTGTTAGCAATGGCATTAATGTGTACTGCTGCTGAATTGTATGTGAGTTTTCTTTCTGCAGTTGATTTTGCAGATAACTCAGAAGCAGTCCATGAGACACGTTGCTGTCTTGTTTCTCATCTCTTCCCTTCTCCAATCTCCTTTGCATTTTTCTTCTTCTCTCATGTTTTTCTGGCAGCAGGACAAATAGCCTCAAAACTTGCCTTCCTATTGCCTTTTACCTGCTTCCTTCCTACTCCTTCACTTCATTGCTAGGAGCAGCCCCAGGTAAAAGTCGTGTCTGCACTCATTAAATAAAAAGAGAACTTGAAAATCCTTTTCAGACCTCTGTTGCTTTTGCTTGGCTAATATGTCCTATTATCTTTGCAGTGTTTTATGCAGGGCTATAATTGCACCAGAGGTTTCTGGTTCATATCAAATGTGCTGCCAACGAGCTCTGTTAGCCTAATAATGTCACCAGCCCTTTAGCACAGAATTACAAGTTTTAGTTTGCTGCCTATATTAGCAACTGGAAGGTCAGCAAGAAGAAATGCTCCTGTGAGAGCAGATCTCTCCCCAGAATGGAGAGCTGCTGGGTTGTGCTGGTGTCTGCCAGGTGGGTTCGTCACTTCTTGCATTCTTTGCTGCCCATTTGATGCTGAGCTCTGTCAGCACAAACACCGCAGCTCCGTGCCAGGCACCTCAAAGTAGATGGTCTGCATGTTCAGATGCAGAGTTCTGTTTATAATTTGATGAGCTGACAAATGTTAGTTTGCATCCCAGACTTAACATAGACTTTATTCTACAACACAGGGCAACTCATTTTCTGTTTACCCATCTGTGATGAAACCAATTGCAGTCCTCACCAGCCTGATGAGGAATTTGCTCACTCCAGGCCCGAGTGGTTACACTGTACAGAACTGCTTAGAGCCTGCCAGGCTGCTAAGGACACTGGCAAAAACAATGGGCAAAGGCAAAGACAAAAGCGCCTCCATCCCACAAGCACAAAGTCTTCTCCACAGGACGACTGGCTGAACCAGTAGGTTGCCAAATGGAACATACGAGTTGCCAAATAGGAGGTAAAGGGATCTCTGTCCTCCTATTTGGAAACACTTGCCCACTTGCCTGAAGAAAGGTCTGAATGTTGTATCATCCGTCTTGTCACAGATTGTAATACAGGTACCATGACCATGCAGAAAGCAGGTGGCACCTAGTAACTGAATGGCTTACTTAGGAACCTACCAGTATTCCCTTGCACCCCTTCAGCACTGTACTATTTATCGTGACCACAGATGTGGCTGGGCCTGCACATTAAATTCAGTGTGCACTCAGCTGCTAAGGATGTTGCAACGAGTCCCAGCCAGCAGTGCAAAGGCTGCCTGGTGCCATCAGCTAGCAGCACCACTTCTTGGAGGAAGCATCCCCCAGAGACAGCAGTGTGAGTTAAAACAAGTCTTCCTTTTTAGACACTGTTTGTGTGATCCAGCATGATTTGTTGTTGTCTGTCAGCTGAAGCTCGGAAAGAGCAACACCTGGATGGTGTCAGAAAGTCCCCAGAGAGCATGCTGTCCTCAGCCACTGTCAGAGCCTTGTGGTGTGTCTCACTGTGCCCCAGTGTGAGAGCAGTTCATTTCAGGTATCCTTCCAAGACACAGGCAGACACCTGAATCCTCATGGGAATGGCCTCCAGCTGAACCAAACATACAAGCACAGAAAGTCCAGGGAGATGTATTCCTACCCCAAATGTCCATACATCACTCTCAAGTGCTCCTGCAATCCCCTCTCAGAGTACTTGAGAACCATACTCCCTTTGGTCATGCTCCTCTCTGGATGAAAGTGCGCCATAGGTGCAGATGCCTGCAAACAGTGCTAATGGGCAGAACAAGGTGGGATTATCTGGTGGGAAATTGATGCTCTGGAAGGGAGGAGCAGGAGGTGGGCCGGTGAAGAAGATTCAGCTTCCAATCACCCAGCCACAAGCATGGGAATTCCAGAGCAACAAGGTGCATGGCAGTTCCTCCCTAACAGCAGGAAGATGAGTGGTTGGACTTGTAGACAAGTTGTGTGGTGAGTGGAGGTGGGGCATTAAGACACTCAGCAATGCTGAGGGTTGCTGAGTAAGAAAGCAAACTCTCTCATGGGTTGAGAGGGCTACCTATCTCCATGTTTTCAGTAGTGGTATAGCAGAACTATGCTGATATAGGGAGGATCAGAACAAGAACAGTCAACGTGGCTGTAAACACTGACAGCATGTCTATGGATTTTGTCCTACACACAGATGGGGCCTCATGAGGGCAGAGCGGAGGGGGCCAATCACCTCCCTCTCCCTACTGCCACTTTTCTGCTGAATCAGCCCAAGATACAGTTGATCTTCTGGGATGCAAGCACACGCTGCTGGCTCATGTCCTACTTTTTGCCTACCAGAACCTCCAAGTCCTTCTCCACTGGGCTGCTCTCAATGAGTGTCCCAGTCTGTACACTGGGAAAAACCAAAGCAAAGGACATGACAGGGAGGCTGTTATTGGGAAACTGTGTGGGAAATGTCTAATAAGGATAACAGAGTGCAGCAGGGACAAAGATAATTGTCCGGGGGGATTTTTTATTAGGTTTTTTCATAGGAAACATTTGGAATTCAAAGGACAATTCATTTTCCAAAGCACAGCAAAGCTGCCTCACTACATGATCCATTTACTTATGAGCAATCCATAAAGAGGACAACCAACCAAACTACTTCTCTTTCACACTCACACATGTTCTCTTTATGTAAAGAAAGTTGCTAAAAGGAGAGTTTGTGAGGTACTGTAGCCACATTCCTGGAAAATCTGTAATTAAAGACTAACACAGTGTTTTATAGTGAAGAATTACCAGTTAATTTACCCTTCGCTTACCTGCCAGTCCCAAAGTTACTTGGGGGGGCACTGCATGTTGCCACACAATTTCTGTCACTCTCAAAGACGCTTTCAATTCTTCATCTTTGGAAGGCCATGATCCTTCTCTGCCAGTCGATCCCACAGCATCTGGTTGCCTCCTGCTCAGCACT